TGGAGAGAGAGTGAGTGGGAGAGAGAGAGAGAAAGTGATTGGCTCAAAGTCAGCCAGCAAACCTTCATGGTTAAGGTGGGACCTGAACTCGCAGCCTCCTGCTTTCTAGCCTGGTGCCTTAACCACTAGACCCAACTGGCCGTTACGAAGTTCTGACCATTAGTTAAGAAGATTCCCGCGCATAAGGTGGAGCCCAAAAGGTTGGGGACCTCTGAATTAAACCGAACCTTTACATGGCGGACCTGGTTTTTCACACCTGACAAAGACACGGACAATAACCCTATTTCTTTCTTTCTTGATTTGTTTCTTGGTTTGCCCCAAAAGTGTTTTTTTTATTTTTTTTCCAAAAGGCAACTGGACTTGCTTTGTTTTTCCTCGAAGAGATTTCGCCCTCTCCTTCAAGAAGCTTCTTCCGCTTCTGACCGAACGGTGGAGAACAGATGAATCCCTTCCATCCTCCGCCATTCGGTCAGAACCTGAAGAAGCCTCTTGGAAAAGAAGCGAAATGTCGTCCAGGAAAAACAAAGAAAGTCCAATGAAATAGATAGATAGATAGATAGATAGATAGATAGATAGATAGATAGATAGATAGATAGATAGATAGATAGATAGATAGATAGATAGATAGATAGATAGATAGATGAGCACTTTTGGGACGATCCAAATCTCCATAGTTATTTATTTATTTGTTGGAAGTAGGGGGGGTAGAGGCAATAAATCCAAATTGCTGACTGAATAAATGAGAGGATTGGATGTATTAGTTAGGGGGGGGGGGAAAAAAACTGGTGTTTTTTCTACTGACTCATACCTCACAATGTGAACCGTTTTAGTCATTCTTCTCTTCAAGCTTCCCCCCCACACAGACACACACACTTTTTTTGTGTGTAGGGATGAATAGTATGAGATTACCACCAGCGGCTACGAAGAGCAAATGTACTTGTGTTCCTGGAAACGGCTGCGTGGCTGAGCAGCTGCCATCAAAATCTATTTTCCCTGATTTAATGACAGTTTTGTCTTTGCACAGCCATCTCATTTGTATTCCTTCACGTTCCAAACAGGGTAGGCCAGGGGTAGGCAACCCTGGCCATTTTATGACTGGTGGACTTCAACTCCCAGAATTCCTGAACCAGCCATGCTGAGGGGAAAGGGATAGGTTTCCAAGAGGAATTCTGGGAGTTGAAGTCCACCAATCATGAAGGGGCCATAGTTCTCCCATGCTGGCTCAGGAATTCTGGGAGTTGAAGTCCCCAAGTCATGAAGGGGCCACAGTTTCCTCATGCTGGCTCAGGAATTCCAGGAGTTGAAGTCCACCAGTCATAAAGCGGCCTAGGCCTAGGCCAGGGGTAGGCAACCTTGGCCTTTTATGACTCGTGGACTTCAACTCCCAGAATTCCTGAGCCAGCATGGGGGAACTATGGCCCCTTCATTACTCGTGGACTTCAACTCCCAGAATTCCTGAGCCAACATGGAGAAATTATGGCCCCCTCATGACTTGTGGACTTCAACTCCCAGAATTCCTGAGCCAACCTGGCTCAGCCTGGAAACCTCTCCCTTTCCCTTCAGCCTGGCTGGTTCAGGAATTCTGGGAGTTGAAGTCCACCAGTCATAAAAGGGCCAAGGTTGCCTACCCCTGGGGTAGGTGAACGTAGCACGTTCTCAGAATATGTATATCCTCTGCATTTGGATAGCTATTTTGTTCAGGGACAATTATGTGATCGTCAAAATAAAAAAAAAAATAAAAACAGAGGGGCAATGATGACATTTCCTTGGCCAGTCCAGCAGCAAACCATCTATTTTGTGTTTCTCAAAGGTGCTTTTTCCAAAAGGCAACTGGACTTTCTTGGTTGGTTTTTTTTTCCCCTTGAGAAAGTTTTCTTTCTCAAGCAAGAAGCTTCTTTCGTTCTAGCTGGCTGGTAGGGAATGGAAGGATTTCGTTCTGCAAAGAATATCAGTCCTTCCATTCTCCATCAGTCAGTTAGAACTGAAGAAGCTTCTTGGATGAGAAGCAAAACATTTTCAGGGGAAAAACAACCACCAAGAAAGTCCAGCTGACTTTTAAAAATGGAATGGAATGGAATGGAATGGATATTGGAATATAGAATAGAATAGAATAGAATAGAATAGAATAGAATGGAATGGAATAAATAAAAAAGAATAGAAAAGAATAGAATAGAAAATGAATAGAAAATATGGAATATAATAAAATAAAAAATGAATAGAATAGAAAATGAATAGAAAATATGGGAATAGAATAGAAAATATGGAATAGAATAGAATAGAATAGAATAGAATAGAATAGAATAGAATAAAACATGAATAGAATAGAAAATGAATAGGAAATATGTAATAGAATAGAATAAAAAATGAATAGAATAGAAAATGAATAGAAAATATGGAATAGAATAGGATATATGGAATAGAACAGAAAATATAGAATACAATAGAACAGAACAGAAAATGAATAGAAAATATGGAATAGAATAGAATAAAAAATGAATAGAAAATATGGAATAGAATAGAAAATATGGAATAGAACAGAACAGAACAGAATAGAAAATGAATAGAAAATATGGAATAGAATAGAATAAAAAATGAATAGAATAAAAATGAATAGAAAATATGGAATAGAATAAAAACTATGGAATAGAATTGAAAATATAGAATAGAAAAGAAAATATAGAATAGAATAGAATAGAATAGAATAGAATAGAATAGAATAGAATAGAATAGAATAGAATAGAATAGAAACTGAAAGGGACCTTGGAGGTCTTCTAGTCCAGCCCCCTGCTCAAGCAGAAGAACCTATGATAGAGAGTCTCCTTAAACAGTGTGTTGTGTTGTCACTTCTTCAGTGTTTTTATAATCCTCACAAGGAGGCTACCTCAGGTGCTTGTGTTGTCAGGATGTTGTCAAAAGAATAATGTGGGGCTCCAACTGGAGCTGGGGTTGCGCAAGAATAAATAAAAATGAGATCCAGACAGCTGTGAGGAAAGAAACATTTATTCCTAAAAACAAGGAGTTTGCCTTTAGGGGCAGCTGCAGAAAAATGGAGTAAAGCGATGGTTAAATAGGGGAGCTTGTCCTGGGTGTGGAAGTGACACTTGAAAGGCATGTGTGTGTGTAGATATGTTTATTCTTGTGAACACGCAGTTCCGTTGAGAGACCTCATTGAATTACCGTGTTTACAGACCTTCTCCTTTGATATGTGGATTAGGTCTGGGTAACTTATCTAGGTGTTTGAGGACGTTTGAATAAAAAAAAAATTCTCTCATTTCCTATTTTTACTTGATTAATTTAGTTTCAGGCAGACTGTCAATTATCTAGGGGAGATGCTGATTCTCATTCCATTGTGGATTCCGTTAATGTTTTAAGGGAAGATGGAAACAGTATAAGGAATAAAATATATTTTGATCGAAAAGTTCTCAACAGTGTGGATTCCTAAAGCTGGCTGTAGAATTTTATGTATTTATTAATTCGTTAACATTTATTTTCTGCCTATCTTTCCGTGGAGCTACTCTAGGTCTCTTACAACGGTTAAAAACCAAGAAATGAAAAGACGGGTAAACCTCAAGAGTAGTGGAAATTCAGTAATATTAGGTTAAAACAGTGGTTCTCAACCTTTTTAATGCCGCGACCCCCAACCGGTCGTAAGTCGAGGACTATTCAACCGGTCATAAGTCGAGGACTACTCAACTGGTGCAGCCCCGTTTGCAGAATGGGACTTTTGGCAGGCTCAGCAGGGCAGAGACAGCCTGGACAATTCCTATTGGCTTTTGAAAGCCAATAGAGTTAGAGTCTATTCAAGAGAGTCCATTCTATTGGTTTTCAAAAGCCAATAGAATAAAAGGGAGTAGCACAGTTAAGGAAAAGGGGGGAAAAATGGCGGATTGCGTTGTTTGGCGACCCCCATGAAATGGTCGTTCGACCCCAAATGGGGTCCCCACCCACAGGTTGAGAACCACTGGGTTAAAAGATGGGCAGGGGAAGCAGAGAATGTGGGGAGGGGATCCTGGTGGGAATTAGAGTTTTCTTAATACTTTCTGAGAGTTGACACCATCTTATGAACAAAATATCATTACTCATTTTGCTGAACATTTTCAATTAGCTCGCTTCAAAATGGGCTAAAAAAAAAATGGATAAGAACTCCTTGCATTGATACTGAAGTATTTGGAAGGAAAGCTGACTTGGAAGCTTTCCAATCCTAAAAGTTGGCTAAGAAGAGCATAGGATAAAAACAAATGCTTTTTATAAAGAGAAGCATCGTACGAAGTTATGGTGCACTTCCCATAAGCCAGCGGTTCTCAACCTGTGGGTCGGGACCCCATTTGGGGTCGAACGACCATTTCACGGGAGTCGCCAAACAACGCACTCCGCCATTTTTCCCCCCCTTTTCCTTAGCTGTGCTACTCCCTTTTATTCTATTGGCTTTTGAAAGCCAATAGAATAGACTCTCTTGAATAGAGTCTAATTCTATTGGCTTTCCAAAGCCAATAGGAATTGTCCAGGCTGTCTCTGCCCTGCTGAGCCCGCCAAAAGTCCCATTCTGTAAACGGTGCTGCAAGTTGTCTGCAGCGAAGGCGAGCTGTCTGGAAGTTTCCACCCTCCCTGCTGAGCAACTACTAAAAATGTAAGTAAAAGAGGACCAGGGGTGGGAGGTGGGAGGCCGGTGGGCGCAGGGAGGGTTGCTGGCGCACGTGGGGCCCGGCGGATGCCCTACTTCCCTTGGGCTGGGCCAGCTGGTGGCCCAGCCGGTGGTCGGCCTGCGCCATCTCTGCCGCTTGCCAGCTACACCTTGGCCAGCGCAGGGGGCAGCACCACGCATGAGCGGCGCTCCCGGGCAGGGAAAGTCCTCGACTTACAACCGGTTGGGGTCACGGCATTAAAAAGGTTGAGAACCACTGCCATAAGGGAAGACAGAAAGTTGCTTGGGAGGAAAAAATACCCCCCACACACAGAGAGAGACACACACACACACACACACACTTTTTCAATTGTACCTCTTTTTCAAATGGAATTGACAGAACTGGTTTTATTTATTAAATGTTTGTCTCTCAAGCATAGTTAACACAGTAGCTGATGAAAATAACCCTGATTTGCTATTTTTCAAAAGATATGGCTTACATCAAATTATAGGCTTTTGTTCGCATCGTACAATACATTAAAGAGAGAGAGAGGAAAAAAAATCCAAATTATAGTTTTGAGGGTTTGAGCAAAGGAATAGTGGGTTAAAAACAGGACCATGAATGGATCTATCAACTGCAAAATATTTTTTTCCCCTTCTTCCAAATACCTTAACTGGATCCAAGCCAGACAAATACAATCAATTGTACATGTATATTGCATTTTTTGATTTGCATCTTAAGCTATGTTAATAACACAAGACTAAACAGTCTCTCTCACAGAAGACACCGTATTTCCCATTACTGTTTTCTGTTTCCTTTCTGTATTTTCATGAACAATTTCTGACAAACACTCAAAAACACGGTAGAATAGACATCATGTAGCTCAGAACTGATCTGCAGAGTCCTTAGTGCTGTCTGAGCTTGGTTGTTTATGTGTAGACATCTCGTTACCCAACTAGGTAACATCATCAGTGTCAGTTGAGTGTAGGGTTTTCTCCCTGTTTATAAATAGTAGTTTTCTCCTTGGTGGCCTTTTGCTCCATGATTAAAGCTCAATTCACTGGAGGCGAAGTGGTGCATAATCCCAACAGGTGAATGAATAGGACTGGCTGGTCACGTTCAAAATAAAAGGAACTGTGCTTATTCCATATTTATCAACTTGCCTCTGCAGCCGTACACAATCTCTTTGACAGGCTGGCTATGCTTCACAGTGAACACGATTAACAACAAATAAATAACACTAATCCTTGAACACATAGTAAGAATCTTTATGGCTTTCTAGAACATGCAGGAAAAGACACCCTGATAAACTTTAATATTACTGATATCTATTTTCATCTTTCCCGGACTCTATATATAAAGGTCAAAGTGCTTATGCATGTCTCTCTGATGGGGGGGGGGGGTTTCCCAGTTTTGTTTTGAGGAACCATGGAGTTTCTCAGGGATCCTTCAAACCAAAATGCTTTATTTGGAAAAAGAAGCATGACTCGAAATGCTTTATTGGGGGGGGAAAGAAGCATTAATCAAAATGCTTTATTTGGGGGGGAAAAGAAGCATTTCGCTTTGGATAGCAGGAAAGAAAGAAGCTGGAAGGAGTGAAATGAATTCTCCCCTAGCAAAGGGAAGAGTGAATTATGAATTATTGTCAAGGTATTGATTTAACAGCTAACCTACGTTATGTAATGTAAGATTTAAGATGTAATGATGGGAATGACTCAGCAGGGTCTGAGTCTCTTTAAGAGCCTCTGTATAAAAGGGAATGCTCCGCTGGTGTGCTCCCTCTCTTTCGTTTCCTGCTGTAACTGTGGTGTGTTGGATCCTGCTGTATTAGTAGGTGTATGTATATTGTTCCTGGTGTATGATATTGTAGATAGTGTAAGATAAACCACCATTTAATACAGACCACTGTTTACTGTGTTTACTCCTGGGTTATCTCGCGCAAGAAGACTGTGCATGCTCTGACAATTACGTCCTATGTCAGTCATCAAAAATGATTCCGCTAACTCAAGGGCAAGTAATCCCTACAGAGGCCTGGGGTGTCCGGACAATTTTGAGAGAAAGAGGTGAGCACAGCCCAAGATGGCTGCCTGCAGTGGTCATGCAGAACAACGTCCACTGACCAGCAAGTCCTGCAGAAGCTTCTTGGAGGAGAAGCAAAATGTTTTCGCAGAAAAAAAAATCCCCCCAAAAAGTCTAGTTGCCTTTTGGAAAAGCACCTATGAGAATTGCTTCTAGAAGCTAGTTATTTTCTTACAAATAATTCTAGGAGTTGAAGTCCACAAGTCATCAAAGGGCTAAGTTTGAAGACCCTTGCTTGTGGACTTCAACTCTCAGAATTCCTGAGCCAGGCACGCTGGCTGAGGAATTCTGAGAGTTGAAGTCCACAAGTCATCAAAGGGTCAAATTTGAAGACCCTGCTTGTGGACTTCAACTCCCAGAATTCCTGAGCCAGGCATGCTACCTGAGGAATTCTGGGAGCTGAAGTCCACAAGTCATCAAAGGGCCACGTTTGAAGATCCCTGACTTACAGCATGCAGCTTCCTAGCTCCTGTTTAAGGGAACACGGAGGAAGATGGTAGATGTCAAGAATTAGATGGGTGCTCTTAACTGGTACGCTTCTAATTTAGTTAAAACCTTTTCCTCTTTGGACTGGCTTGTCCCCAAGGTCTCTTCAAAATGAATCCAGTTAAATCTTCTCTCCCTGCATCACTCCAGCTGCAGGCGCAATATAATTAATCTAAGGTCTGGTTTTATTGGATCCTTTCGTATTATTGAGATAATGGCTGAGTTGCCGGTCTCAACTGCGATCGCTAAAGAAGCTCTACATCTACAGACAGTCCTTGGCTTATAACTATTGGTTTAGTAGCTGTCCAAAGTCTCTACAAAAAGTAACTTATAACAATTTTTTACCCTTACAACTACTGGAGCATCCCCAGGACCACACAATCAAAATCTGGACGCTTGGCAACTGCCACCTATTGTTGATGGCTGTAGTCATGCAATCCCCTTTTGCAATATTCTGACAAGCAAAATAATAATAATAATAATAATAATAATAATAATAATAATAATAATAAGGAGGAGGAGGAGGAGGAGGAGGAGGAAAAGGAGAAGGAGAAGAAGGAGAGTTGAAAGGGACCTTGGAGATCATCTAGTCCAGCCCCCTGCTCAGGCAGGAAACCCTATCCCATTTCAGACAAATGGCTGTCCAGTCTCTTTTTAAAAATTCCCAGTGTTGGATCATTCACAGCTTCTGGAGGCAAGGAGTTCCACTGGTGAATTGTTCTGACTGTCAGAAAGTCTAAAAGTCAATGGGGGAAGCCAGATTCACTTAACAACCGTGTTACTAACTGCAGAGACTCACTTAACAACGGTGGAAAGAAAGGCCGTAGAATGGGCCAAAACTCACTTAACAATTGTCTCGCTTAGCAACGGAAATTTCGAGCTCAGTTGTGGACGCTAAGTGGAGAATTACCGGCACTCCACGCTTTTTGCTCATCACAATCCCCTCCTTGAAAAATTCTTTCGGAGAATTCTCTGAAAAAATGGTCATTAAAAAAAATGACAAGAAAGGTTATCTAATCTCCAATGGATCCGTGATCTACGTATCCGACCGTCTGTTCCGGAAACGACCCGCGGGCTTTGTATGATGCGCTTCTTCCTGATTAGAAAAGATCAGTTCCTCGAGGCAAACGGCTCCTCAAATTAGGGAATTCAAATCCCATGGATGAATTCCTGTCCCAAATTCAAATGCCCCTTTCTATTTGGGCAAGATTATCCAGCAGTCAAGGCTTGGTGTTGTGCTTTTACAAGAGATCCCAGTGAATGTCACTTGTTTGGACCTCCGGGTTTTCTTGTGCTTCAGAAAAAGTGAGATGTGCTCATGAAACAGACGTGGGAGGGAAAAAAAACCTGCCTGCGTTCAGAGCAAATATTGAAGGAGCTTCCTTCTCTTTCACTGGAGCACTACAAAAAAGATGTTGACACCTTGGAAAAAATTCAGAGAAGAGTAACTAACATGATCCAAGGCCTGGAGACCAAAACATAGGAAGAACGGCTGCGGGAGTTGAGTTTGGCTAGTCTAAAGAAAAGAAGAAGTAGGGGAGACAGGATAGTAGTATTCCAGTATCTGAGGGGCTGCCACAAAGAAGAGGCAGGGGTCACATTATTATCCAAAGCACCAGAGGGAAGGACGAGAAACAACGGATGGAAACTGATCAAAGAGAGAAGCAACCTGGAATTAAGGAGAGGTTAATTCCTGACAGTGAGGACAATCAACCAGTGGAACAGAAGTTGCCTTCAGAAATCGTGGGCGCTCCATCACTGGAGGTTCTTAAGAAGAGGCTAGACAGTCACTTGTCTGAGATGGTCTAGGTTCTCCTGCTTGAGCGGGGGGCTGGACTAGAAGACCTCCAAGGTCCCTTCCAGCTCTATTCTGATTTATTGATTCATTGATTGAATTAACCAGTAGAACAGCTTGCCACCAGAAATTGTGGGTGCTCCATCACTGGAGGTTTTTAAAAATAGACTGGGCAGTCACTTGTCTGAGATGGTCTAGGTTCTCCTGCTCGAGCGGGGGGCTGGACTAGAAGACCTTGAAGATCCCTTCCAGCTCCATTCTATTCTAATTCTAATTAAGGTTGGTTCCACTCCTTATTTGCTTTTGAGTAGGCCAGTGGAGGAATTTCCGTTTTAAGATGCTGTGCAATTAATTTATTTTCCCCCCATGCAGTGATTTTTCTATTCTACCATAGTAAGCCGACTTCAATGCTTGTGTTAACTAACATCTGCATAGCGGCTGCAGGCAGCCTTAGCAAGATTCCTGATCGTTCAAGAAACGGGTTGTTTTTCAGTTGTACATTGCGGGTAACCCTCAACCTTACAACCTTTCATTTAGCAACAGTTCAAAGTTACAACGGCACTTAAGAAGTGACTTACAACCAGCTCTTGCCCTTACAACTATTAGCAACATCCCTGTGATCACGGGACTGAAATCTGGATGATTGGCAGCTGGCATGTATTTAGGATGGCTGCAGTGTTGAAGAATCCTGTGATAACCATTTGTGACCTTCCCAGCCAGCTTATGACAAGCAAAGTCAATTGCGGGACCTGGATTTGCTTAACAGTCGTATGATTCACTTAACAACTCAGGTCGTCATAAGTCCAGGACTACCTGTATGTTGTTGATTCCATGAAAATATTCCACAGAACATACAGAGTCCTGTCCCACACATGCTTGTGGACTTTGGCACATATCTGTGTAAACCAGTGGTTCTCAACTTTTTTAATGCCGCGACACCCAACCGGTCGTAAGTCGAGGACTACTCAACCGGTCGTAAGTCGAGGACTACTCAACTGGCGCAGCACCGTTTGCAGAATGGGACTTTTGGCGGGCTCAGCAGGGCAGAGACAGCCTGGACAATTCCTATTGGCGTTTGAAAGCCAATAGAATTAGACTCTATTCAAGAGAGTCTATTCTATTGGCTTTCAAAAGCCAATAGAATAAAAGGGAGTAGCACAGCTAAGGAAAAGGGGGGGGGGAAATGGCGGACTGCGTTGTTTGGCGACCCCCTGAAATGGTCATTTGACCCCAAATGGGGTCCCGACCCACAGGTTGAGAACCACTGGTGTAAACCTATGTCCTAAGGGGCATCTACTGCTATCCCCAACATGGCTCAATTTCACTGCGTAAAAACTACAAAAACATATCCTTTTTATTTGCATTGCTCTACTGTTGAGCGTTTTGATTCAGGAAGCAGACCAAAATATTCTGCCCATGTGTGCAAAGGAAGTTCTCCATGGTTTTCCAAAGCTGCAAATAGTTTAAAAAGACGTTCAAATCAGGAATTTCCATCTACTTTGTTTAACTTCTGAGAACTGGGGAGGAATCCGGGATGGATAGAAACGCTGTCCAATTACTGAACAACACATTAAGTGAAATGGTTGGGGTTTTTTTTAACATAATGAAATAAACACTTTCTTTTTCACGTCACGGCTATTCCCACTTGGGAGCAAGGTGAGTTTCTGAACCTTCGGATCCCTGAGATGTACATTGCTCAAGTCCAAAGGCAACTCATGGAAAAGTCAGCAGGTAATTCTCACCCATTTCAAAAAAGAAATTAAAGATGCCGTATGCCAGATCAGCCGCCTCCTATCCGTAACATTTGCCTCTCCAATTTTGCAGGAAAGCATTATGTTCCTATTGTCCCATCCCTGCAGATTTCGCCCAGGGCGGGTCTAAAAACTACACCTGCACCAAAAGAATTCCTGCCCCAGCAGGGGGTTCGACTAGATGACCTCCAAGGTCCCTTCCAACTTTATTATTATCATTATTATTATGGAGCATCAGTCAGCCAGATGTTCAGACTGGATTTGGCATTTTGTCTACCTTCCGAGTCCTTACCCAGGACCTGGGATAGGCAGATGTGGATGTTTGATGGTATTACAGATATCGTTGCAGGATGGAAGCAGTTCCTAGTAAGGCCGCCTTTTGCAATTGTCTAATAGCGAATTTGTCAATGCCAATGGTGTTCAAGTGGTGCTCCAGTTGTTTTGGGATTGCACCCAAGGAGCCTATGCCTATTGGTACTACCCTTGCTTGCCTTTGCCACAGTCTTTCTATTTCTATTTGTAGGTCTTTGTATTTTGTGATCTTCTCCAGTTCTTTCTCGATTATTATTATATTATTATTATTGTCACACCTTCTGCTTTAGAAGATGGACTGTTTGTATCTTGCGATTGCCTTGCACACTGATTACAAAGTAATCATTGTGTCCGACTCTAGGTATGGTACTCCATCCCCATTTCTTGGCCGAGGGAGCCAGCGTTGTCCGAAGAAACATCCGTGGTCAGGTGGCCAATGTGGCTGTCCGCCAAAGTGATTAGGGTTAGGTAGTGGTACCTATTAATCTACTCGCATTGGCATGCTTGTGCTCTGATTAAGCTGGGCTATGGCATGACACATGCTGTGCTTTGTGATACCCTTGTGTTTTTCAACCTCTTACTGTCCTCGGGACAGTCAAAATGGGGGGAGGGGAGGGGTGTTCCACCTGGACAACTCTCCTGCTGGGTTAGAGCAAACGTTTATGAGGTCCACAGTTTTGATTCCTGAGCAAAACCTGCGCAGTGTTCAGAGGTGAGGTAATGAAGCTGGGGAAAATATCATTCGGAGTGTGTTAGGGTGTTAGGAGAAGAATAGAATAGAATAGAATAGAATAGAATAGAATAGAATAGAATAGAATAGAATAGAATAGAATAGAATAGAATAGAATATGAATAGAATATAGAATAGAATAGAATAGAATATGGAATGGAACAGAATAGAACAGAATAGAATAGAGAATAGAGAATAGAACAGAATAGAGAATAGAATAGAGAAAGAATGAAATAGAACAGAATATATAATAGTTAGAATAGAATAGAAACAGAATAGAATATAGAAAGAATGGAATAGAATAGAATAGAGATGGAATGGAATGGAATAGACTAGACTAGACTAGAATAGGAAATGGAAGGGACCTTGGAGGTCTTCTAGTCCAACCCCCTGCTCAGGCAGGAAACCCTAGACCATTTCAGACCAATGACTGTTCAGTTCTTAAAAACCTCCAGTGACAGAGCATTCACAACTGGAGGTGGGTTGTTCCACTGATTAATTGTTCCAACTGTCAGTAAATTTCTCCTTAGTTCCAGGTTGCTTCTCTCCTTAATGAGTTTCCATCCGTTGCTTCTTGTCCTGCCTTCAGGCGCCTTAGAAAATAGCTTGACTCCCTCTTCTTTGGGGCAGCCCCTGAGATACTGTAACACTGCTATCATGCCCCCCCCGTCCTTCTCTTCATTAAACTACACATACCCAATTCCAGCAACCGTTCCTTATATGCTTTAGCCTCCAGTCCCCTAATCATCTTTGTTGCTCTTCTCTGCGCTCTTTCCAGAGTCTCAACATTTTTTTTACATCGTGGTGACCAAAACTGGATGCCGTATTCCAAGCGTGGCCTTACCAAGGCCTTGTAAAGTGGTATTAACACTTCACATGATCTTGATTCTCTCCCTCTGTTAATGCAGCCTAGCACTGTGTTGGCTTTTTTGGCAGCTGCAGCACACGACTGGCTGATATTTAAGGGATCATCCACTAGGATAGTTTCCGCAGGTTCATGATGTCTTCTGTGGACAGTGTGCAGGAACCTCAGAGAGAAAAACTATGGACCAGGTAAACTTTTGCTCTGAACAGGCAGGATAATGGTGGCAGTGGGATATCCCCTCTCCTCCATTTACCTCTTGGTCACTTGCATCAAAGACCAAGCCTACCACAAACTCTTCTCTCAGCTTTGATCTCTCTTCTCCAAGGGTTTGTTTCCATCCCAGTTTTTTCACATACATTGAAAGCTGCTCTTTGGCTCCAGAGAACTTCATCTACACTCATCATGACTTCCTGGTTCTATGTTAGTAGAACATTTCATACTACGATGAGGAGGAATTTGGGGATATTCACCCCAAGGTTTATACAGGAAGTAAGCTGAATATGGCTAAGAGCCAGGTGGCAGTTTGAGAAGACCGTTGGTGGGAGGAAGGGGGAACAGATGTGCATCATTTCAAACACCACTGGCTATCTTCTTCACAACAGTGTTATTTGTGGGGAAACTAGTAAGGAAGGAAGGAAAGAGGGAGAGAAAAAAGGGAGGGAGGGAGGGAGGGAGAGAGGGAGGAAGGAAAGCAGGAAAGAAGGAAAAGGAAAAAAGTAAGTAATGAAGGAAGGAAAGAAGGAAGGAAAGAAAGGAGGAAAGAAGAAAGGAAAAAAGAAGAAGTAACTAAATAAGGAAGGAAAGAAGGAAGAAAAGGAAAATAGAAGAAAGGAAGGAAGGAAAGAAAGGAAGGAGGGAGGAAAGAAGGGAGGAAAAATGAAGGAAAGAAGTAACTAAATAAGGAAGGAAGGAAAGGAGAGAGGGAGGGAGGAAAGAAGGAAGGAAGGAAAGGAGAGAGGAAAGAAGGAAGGAAAGAAGGAAAGTAACTAAATAAGGAAGGAAGGAAAGAAAGAAGGAAGAAAAGGAAGGAAAAAAGAAGGAAGGAAGGAAAGAAAGGAGGAAAAAAGAAGGAAAGAAGTAACTAAATAAGGAAGGAAGGAAGAAAGGAAGGAAGGGAGAGAGGTAGGGAGGAAAGAAGGAAGGAAAGAAGGAAGGAAAAAAGGAAAGAAGTAGCTAAATAAGAAAGGAAGGAAAGAAGGAAGGAAAGGAAGGAAAAAAGAAGAAAGGAAGGAAAGAAGGGAGGGAGGGAGGAAAGAAGGGAGGAAAAATGAAGGAAAGAAGTAACTAAATAAGGAAGGAAGGAAGAAAGGAAGGAAGGGAGAGAGGGAGGGAGGAAAGAAGGAAGGAAAGAAGGAAGGAAAAAAGGAAAGAAGTAGCTAAATAAGAAAGGAAGGAAAGAAAGAAGGAAGGAAAGGAAGGAAAAAAGAAGAAAGGAAGGAAGGAAGGAAAGAAGGGAGGGAGGGAGGAAAGAAGGGAGGAAAAAAGAAGGAAAGAAGTAACTAAATAAGGAAGGAAGGAAAGGAGAGAGGGAGGGAGGAAAGAAGGAAGGAAGGGAAGAAGGAATTAAAGGAGGGAGGGAGGAAGTACAGAAATGATCAACAGCCCACCTGCATTTCCTGTTTCTCAGCTCCTGTCCCAGAGACGAAATACACACAAACCCTGGTAGCGATGTGCTGTTATTTCTACTGGAAAAATCTTGAGCTAATGTGCTTTACTTGTAGGAGGCTCCGGGGCGGGGTGCTCCTTATTCCTACAACGCTGAGCGGGGCTTCCCCCGAGAGACCACAAACAGCCCGACACGTCTGGCGAGTGGAGGAGGGCGGCGGGACCCCCCCGACTCCGAAGGGAAGCAAAACCCGGCGAGGAACCGAAGCTCGAAAATTATTGCGTAATTTTCCTCGAAGCGTTAAAATCCGTGTGAACCGAGCGCCCGGCCCAACGTATCCCACACCCCCTCCGCGACGTTCCTGCTTCAGGGATGTGGCCCAGGACCCCCGAAACACCCATTATTTCACTTTCTTTTTTTAAAAAAAAAAAAGAAGAGAGAGAAAAAAAGAAACACGAATCCACCCGTCGAGAACGGGGGATCAGGAGTAGCTGCAGGCGTCCGTGTGGACTCGTAAAACCCCCCTGCTGTGCAGGCGGAGGAAGTTGAGCATCTCCGAAGGCATCGCGTGGAACCCGGGCCGAGGTTTGACGTTGTCATAGTAATGGTGAGTGATGAACGTCCCTGAGGGGTTCATGGAGAAACCCCAGAATCCAAAGAGGTGGACCTCTTCGCACAGCTCCAAGGCGGCCGTCGCCAGGATCAGCCCCGTGGTGACCCGCTTGGCCCGCACCCCTTGCGTCAGCCAGTAGCGCGAGACGTTGGTGAGATATTTGGGGTGGAAAAAGTAGACGGCCTTCTTGGATTCGAAGTCGTCCAGGACGTACCTGACCCTGATGGAGACGTCGGTGTTGTGGGTGTTGTAGAAGGCCGGGAGCAACACGGAGGCGTTTTCGTACGCTTTCAAGACTTGGTAAAAGGGCCGCCTCCATTTCTCCAGCCTCTGGAACCTGGTATGAGGTGCACAAGGAGGGAGAACGTCAGAAATCCAAGCAATCTGTCACGACGTTGAGATTCTCCCCCTGATAAAAGCATGTTACAATTAAAAAGCAACGGGTGGAAACTCATCAAGGAGAGAAGCAACCTGGAACGAAGGAGAAACTTCCTGACAGTCAGAACAATTAACCTGTGGAACAACCTGCCTCCAGAAGTGGTGAATGCTCCAACACTGGAAGTCTTTAAGAAGAGACTGGACAGCCATTTGTCCGAAATGGTGTAGGGTTTCCTGCCTGAGCAGGGGGTTGGACTAGATGACCTCCAAGGTCCCTTCCAACTCTGTTTATTCTATTGTATTCTATTCTATTCCATTCCATTCCATTCAGGCAGCATTCAGTATATGGTAGAATTCAGATATGAGGGTCCTTGAATGAAGGACTAAGAGGTCCTAAAGTGCTGCCAGAAAGGGGTTAAGGGGTCAAGCTATTCTCCAAAGCGCCTGAAGGCAGGACAAGAAGCAACGGGTGGAAACTAACCAAGGAGAGAAGCAACCTGGAACTAAAAAGAAACTTCCTGACAGTTAGAACAGTTAACCAGTGGAACCACCTGCATCCAGAAGTGGTGAAGGCTCCAAAACTGGAAGTTTTTAAGAAGAGACTGGACAGCCATTTGTCCGAAATGGTGTAGGGTTTCCTGCCTGAGCAGCGGGTTGGGCTAGATGACCTCCAAGGTCCCTTCCAACTAGTAGTAGTAGTAATAGTAGTAGTAGTATAAGTATTATTAGTATTATTATTGTTTGAGTTTTACATTGGCTCTATTGGGATCGGGGAAGCAGGCCTCCTCATTTAAACATCAGCTGCCTCAAAAGCGTAGAAAGGGGAAGGAAAACCAGCAATTATGTTTTTTGTTTTGTTTTTTGGTCAAATGGCAGGGTCTTCTTTTTTGTTTGTTTTTCTTAAGATCCAGTTCTGGAACCTCCTGAACCCTCTGGGGTCGGAAGGTTTGGCTTCTGAGTCAAGTTTCAGTTCCAGAGGCTGTTAAATAAATCTCCATACTGTTCTCCTATAGTTCCAGATATAGACGAGGATGTAACGCAGAACAGATGGAGCCATCTTAGGTTGGAAGGAAGGAAGGAAGGAAGGAAGGAAGGAAGGAAGGGAGGGAGGGAGGGAGGGAGGGAGGGAGGAAGGAAGGAAGGAAGGAAGGAAGGAAGGAAGGAAGGAAGGAGGGAGGGAAGGTAAAAGAAAGTGGGAGTGAAGGAAGGAAGGAAAAATGGGAAGGAATGTAAAAGAAAGAGGGAGGGAGTGAAGGAAGGAAAAAAATAGGAAGGAAGGTAAAAGAAAGGGAAGGAGGGAAGGAGGGAGGGATGGAGGGAGGGAAGGAAGGAAGGTAGGTAAAAGAAAGAGGGAGTGAAGGAAGGAAAAATAGGAAGGAAGGTAAAAGAAAGGGAGGGAGGGAGTGAAGGAAGGAAGGAAGGAAGGAAGGAAGGTAAAAGAAAGAGGGAGTGAAGGAAGGAAGGAAAAATAGGAAGGAAGGTAAAAGAAAGGGAAGGAGGGAGGGAGGGAGGGAAGGAAGGAAGGAAGGTAAAAGAAAGAGGGAGTGAAGGAAGGAAAAATAGAAAGGGAGGTAAAAGAAAGGGAGGGAGGGAGTGAAGGAAGGAAGGAAGGAAGGAAGGAAGGAAGGAAGGAAGGAAGAAAAATAGGAAGATCAAAGAAAGAGGGAGGGTGGAAGGAAAAATAGAAAGGAACGTAACAAAAAGAGGGAGGGATGGAGGGAGGGAGGAAGAAAGGAAGGAAGGAAAAATAGGAAGGAAGGTAAAAGAAAGAGGGAGGGAGGGAAGGAAGGAAGTCTAAGGAAAGAAGGAAGGGAAGCTAAGGAAAGGAAGCTAAGGGAGGGAGGGAGGGAACGAGGGAGGGAGGAAAGAAAAGAAAAGGAAAGAGAGAACACTGAAGAGAAGAGAACACGCCTGGGCTGAAGCCCACATGCCTCCTTTCAATTCCATGCATTTATTTTCCCGGAGAACAAAGAGGCTGAACTGACTCTCGTTTCCAGTTGCTATGAAATTACGCCGTCCAGAGCCGGGAACGGCTTCGCTGGAGCACATCACCAGATGCGGCTTCTTCCTCCTTCAGAGGACTGTGAATTTCACCGAGACTCCGGCGCAAAGGGAGGCTGGGGAAACGACTGACCTTTCGGTTATTATGCTCGGGTTGACCGTCACCACGTTAGTCTTCACACCGACATCTGCCTCGTACTTCCTCGATATGGGCGGCAAATTGCATCTACAGGAGAAAAAGGGAGCGCGGGAAAAGATCTTAGGGTGTTGTGTTGTTGTTTGTTTCTCCAGCTGTTACCCTCTCCTCCCTGTCCAAAACAAACACCGTTTTACACAGGGCCAAAAAACAGGGAAATCGGGCTCTGCCACAAGCCGGACGAGGACTTCAAGGCCTTCGGGTTTTAGATGAAGGGATTTATTGATCTAATCATCATCATCATTGTCGTCGTCAATAAGAAAGACAAAAAAGTCTGGATAGTGGACGTGGCAGCGCCTGGAGACAGCAGAATAGAAGAGGACGAACTGGAGAAGATAACAAAATACAAAGACCTACAAATAGAAATAGAAAGACTGTGGCAAAAGCAAGCAAGGGTAGTACCAATAGTAATAGGCTCCTGGGGTGCAATCCCAAAACAACTGGAGCACCACTTGAACACAATTGGCATTGACAAATTCGCTATTAGTCAATTGCAAAAGGCGGCCTTATTAGGAACTGCTTCAATCCTGCGACGATACCTGTAATACCATCAAACATCCACATCTGCCTATCCCAGGTCCTGGGTAAGGACTCGATAGGTAGACAAAATGCCAAATCCAGTCTGAACATTTGGCTGACTGTGCGATCATCCATAATAAGTGCCTTGAGTGCAATCCCAAAACAACTGGAGCACCACTTGACACCATCATCGGCATTGACAAATTCGCTATTAGTCAATTGCAAAAGGCGGCCTTACTAGGAACTGCTTCCATCCTGCGACGAGATCTGTAATAACATCAAACATCCACATCTGCCTATCCCAGGTCCTGGGTAAGGACTCGATAGGTAGACAAAAAGGCCAGATCCAGTCTGAACACCTGGCTCACTGTGCAATGATCCATAATAATAATAATAATAATAACAACAACAACAACAAGAACAAGAATAATAATGATGATGATGTTGTTGTTGTTGTTTTTGTTGTTGGAAGGGACATTTGAGGTCATCTAGTCCAATTGATCTATTTCAATTTAGAAGTTGACCAACTACAGACAAGTCTGGACAGCTTATATTTTAAACTGTAAGGAACATTAAAATAGAGGGGGGGGGGCAGAAGGATCTCCAGAAAAAAAAAGACATAAAAACGCACACCCCCCCCAAAAAAAACCAATGGGATGTTAAAAATCAATAAAACATATTTTTTTGAAAATGGGAGTTCAACAGCCACCCTATCCTCAAGCCTGGAAGAGCCAGGTGTTCAAGATTTTAAATTTCCTTAAGTGACGGTGGGATTCAAAGAGAGTTGACTTTAATCTGCTTGTGGCTATGTAGGGATTCTAGGCCAGTGATGGCAAACCTTTTAGAGACCGAGTGCCCAAACTGCAACCCAAAACCCACTTATGCATCGTCGAGTGCCGGGTGGGTGTGGCCCATTGGGTGGGCGTGGCTGCGGTGCTAACGGCAGACTGGGTGGGACTAAAAAGTTCAATCAATCAATTCCAACTTTGCAACATCTTTTTTTTCCCGCGAGAAGTTGAAATTGACTGATTGAACCTTTTTTTTTTTTTTTTTTTTGCACACGGCGGTGGAGGCCTAAAGCGAAAAGGCTTTATAAAACCCAGCTGAAGGCCGAGGACTGGGGAGACATTGTGCGTGCCCACAGAGAAGGCTCTGGGTGCCACCTCTGGCACCCGTGCCATAGGTTTGCCACCACTGTTCTAGGCTGATCCCTCTTTTGACTCCTCCCCCAGGTTCTGCTGCTCACCTAAATATGAGCCAGCCGTGTGCTGCAGCTGCCAAAAAAGCCAACCCAGTGCTGGGCTGCATTAACAGAGGGATAGAATCAAGATCATGTGAAGGGTTACTACCACTTTACAAGGCCCTGGTAAGGCCACGCTTGGAATCCTGCATCCAGTTTTGGTCACCACAATATAAAAAAGATGTTGAGACTCTAGAAAGAGTGCAGAGAAGAGCAATAAAGATGATTAGGGGACTGGAGGCTAAAACATATAAGGAACGGTTGCTGGAATTGGGGATGTCTAATTTAACGAAGAGAAGGACGAGGGGGGACATGATAGCAACTCTTCCAATCTCTCAGGGGCTGCCCCAAAGAAGAGGGAGTCAAGCTATTCTCCAAAGCAGCTGAAGGCAGGACAAGAAGCAACAGATGGAAACTCATCAAGGAGAGAAGCAACCTGGAACTAAAGAGAAACTTCCTGACAGTCAGAACAATTAATCAGTGGAACTCCTTGCCCCCAGAAGCGGTGAATGCTCCAACACTGGAAGTTTTCAAGAAGAGATTAGACAGCCATTTGTCTGAAATGATATAGGGTTTCCTACCTGAGCAGGGGGTTGGATTAGATGACCTCCAAGGTCCCTTCCACTTCTATTCTATTCTATTCTATTCTATTCTATTCTATTCTATTCTATTCTATTCTATTCTATTCTATTCTATTCTAATTAACCCATGGAACAACCTGCCTCCAAAAGCTGTGAATGCTCCAATATTGGCAATTTTTAAGAAGAGACTGGACAGCCATTTGTCTGACATGGTATAGGGTTTTCTGCCTGAGCAGGGGGTTGGACTAGATGATCTCCAAGGTCCCTTCCAACATCAACATCATCATCATCATTATTTTATTCATTAGACATGAACCTCAGTCAATTGAACATTCAAATTGGCTGGCGCTGATGATTGATACGGGTTGCTACCAGCATCATCATCATCATCATCATCACCATTATTATTATCATTACTATTATTATTATTATTATTACTATTATTCCTGCACTAATACGCTTCTTTGATCCTGCAAGGCAGGGCCATCTTTCTCTCTTTAACTTCTTCTTCTTCTTTGCTAACAAAGAAAGAAGTAGAAAGAGCAATAGGAAAAAATGAACATTTTTTCCAAAGAGCAGGCAGTCCGTGGATGCCTTCCAAACCCCGAATGAGACACCCAGTTATATAAGGAATGCCTAATTGGGAGCACTTTTAGCTTTTAGCCTGCAAGCAAGAGCCACATGGAATCTAAGCCCCTCAAAATATCTAAATAAACTTTGATTAAATCCCCAATTTACAGTATGGAATACCTATCTCCCTTAGATTGTTAAATACTTCAAAGTATTGACATTGCCCTGGGAAATTGTACCGTAGGTATTTTGGATAAAATGCTCACAATCTAGGCTTTGAGATTTACTTATTTTTTTTCCATCTTCGTAATTATAATTTCCTTATCACAGCCCTTTCAGCTGCATGATTTGAATTGTGTCTTTCTAACACCCATTGCAGTGTCTTCTGCCAGTCTGCTTTTTTTCCATCCTCAATAAACAGCTGGAAGCTGAATTTGTAATCAAGGCCAGGCCAGATTTGCAGAAACTAAAGCACAAGAAATAATTAGAAATCCTTCTTGGTCACTCATCTCCACGCAGAACACATTTTTCTTCTTTATTTTGCTTTATCGTTTTGCCCGTTGGGTCTGGTGGTTGAGGCAGCAGGCTAGAAAGCAAGAGACTGTCACTTCTAGTCCTGCCTTAGGTATGAAAGCCAGCTGGTGACTTTTGGCCCATCACTGGGAGATGGTAAGTTCTAGTCCCGCCTTAACCATGAAAGCCAGCTGGGTGACTTTGGACCAATCACCGGGAGACGGTGAGTTCTAGTCCCGCCTTAATCATGAAAGCCAGCTGGGTGACTTTGGACCAATCACCGGGAGACGGTGAGTTCTAGTCCCGCCTTAGGCACGAAAGCCAGCTGATGACTTTGGGCCAATCACCAGGAGACGGTGAGTTCTAGTCCCGCCTTAGCCATGAAAGCCAGCAGGGTGACTTTGGGCCAATCACCAAGAGACTGTGAGTTCTAGTCCCGCCTTAGGCACGAAAGCCAGCTGGGTGACTTTGGGCCAATCACCAGGAGACGGTGAGCTCTAGTCCTGCCTTAGCCATGAAAGCCAGCTGGGTGACTTTGGGCCAATCACCAGGAGACTGTGAGTTCTAGTCCCGCCTTAGGCACGAAAGCCAGCTGGGTGACTTTGGGCCAATCACCAGGAGACGGTGAGTTCTAGTCCCGCCTTAGCCATGAAAGCCAGCTGGGTGACTTTGGGCCAATCACCAGGAGACTGTGAGTTCTAGTCCCGCCTTAGCCATGAAAGCCAGCTGGGTGACTTTGGGCCAATCACCAGGAGACGGTGAGTTCTAGTCCCGCCTTAGCCATGAAAGCCAGTAGGGTGACTTTGGGCCAATCACCGGGAGACGGTGAGTTCTAGTCTTGCCTTAGGCATGAAAGCTAACTGGGTGACTTGGGCCAATCACCGGGAGACGGTGAGTTCTAGTCCCGCCTTAGCCATGAAAGCCAGCTGGGTGACTTTGGGCCAATCACCAGGAGTCGGTGAGTTCTAGTCCCGCCTTAGCCACGAAAGCCGGCTGAGTGACTTTGGGCCAATTACCAGGAGACTGTGAGTTCTAGTCTTGCCTTAGCCATGAAAGCCAGTTGGGTGTTTTGGGGCCAATCACCAGGAGACTGTGAGTTTTAGTCCTGCCTTAGCCATGAAAGCCAGCTGGGTGACTTTGGACCAATCACCAGGAGTTGGTGAGTTCTAGTCCCGCCTTAGCCCTGAAAGCCAGCTGGGTGATTTTGGGCCAATCACCAAGAGACGGTAATTGCAAATCTTCCAAACCTATTATTCTGTTCTATATGGAACACATACTGTACAAAATATGCTACAATGCATGAAATTATCAGAGGGTCAACACTGACCAGGACGGTAAATTCATCAGTCCAAATATAATCTCCCAAATTATTTTTAGCATGTGGACATTCCTGGAACTTTTCTTCCCTTGTCCACTCCTGTTTATTAGCCACTGATCTCAGTAGAAAAAAAACCAACGAACACAAAAATAAATTGATTTGGAGAGGAAAAAAGAGAAAAAGAGGATTAAATTAACATTCTGTCCCAGCTGTTCAAGCCTGCTGAGATTCACGGCTCCATAATCCTGAGCCAATAGTCAACCATCCGGTCAATCCAACTAAACAAGCGATATCCCTCTTGCGTAACCTGACCTGAAATGGATCCAAGAATCAATTTTGTCTTAAGTCAGCAGAATCAGAAATTATTTCCTGTGTTTTTTTTTTCTTTAATTGTGTCTTAAATCTCTACTTTAACAATCTTGAAAAAACGAGGGGCGTAAAGCTAAAAATCGAGATGTAAAGCTAATGATATTTTTCTAAAAAAAAAAAACAACTGGAAGTCATTGCACACAGCCATACATTTTATATTTGGGGGTTTTTTTCAATGACCAATTTTTTTATCAAGGGGCTCAAGGCAGGAAAGCAGAAAAGCAATAAACGTTAAAATCTGTGAGAGGTAATCTACTGTTGCTGTTTACTGTTCTTTTTCCACCCTTTTGCTTTTAAAGAATGAATCAATCTGCAGCTATAAAGTTTTCTACTGTTTTCCACTATTTAAAACAGTCAAAAGCATTGACATAATAAGCATGTCAATTCACAACCTTTTCTTATCGTCGCTCATTTTTGGAAAAAAAAAATTCCGATTGCCTTCATTAAAGAGCGGTAGTTCTTACGAATTCATTTCCAGTTGCTTCTGACGATGTAAGAGCTCAGTGAATAGGTGAGCGAAAAAAGACTGAAAAAATAGCCCATCCCATCATTAGCAACAATAGCAACACAATCACTATATACAAAAACACAAAGGTGGCATATGACACCAGTGAGATTAGCAAAAAATGTTTAAAAATACTTCAAACAACTGTTGGAAATGCAAACAAAGACCAGGTCCTTATTATCACATCTGGTGGACATGCCCCAAAGCAAAAAGATTTTGGGTTAAAATACATTTATCAATAGTTGGAGAAAATGACTAAAAAACAAATAGACTTTAAATCAGAATTATTTTGGTTAGGAATAATAGGAGCTAATGAGGAGAAAGACTGCAGATATCTAATACTACACGTATTAACGGCAGCAAGAATGGTATTTGCCCCACATTGGAAAAATGAAAACTTAGTAACTGAAGAAGTATTAATTAAGAAAATTCTAGAGTGTGCAGAAATGGATAGATCAATGGTTCTCAACCTTTTTAATGCCGCAACCCCCAACCGGTCGTAAGTCGAGGACTAAATTGGTCGTAAGTCGAGGACTACCCAACCGGTCATAAGTCGAGGACTTTACCTGCCCGGGAGCGCCGCGCATGCGTGGTGCCGCCCCCTGCGCTGGCCAAGGCATAGCTGGCAAGCAGCAGAGACGGAGCAGGCCGACCACCGGCTGGGCTACCAGCTGGCCCAGCCCAAGGGAGGTAAGGCACCCACCAGAAAAGGGGAAAAAATGGGGGACAGCCTTGCTTGGCGACCCCCATGAAATGGTCGATCGACCCCAAATGGGGTCGCAACCCATAGATTGAGAACTGCTGGAATAGATTGACTTTAAAGATTAAAGAGAAAGAAGACTCAGTCAGTCTACTTTAGAACATGGGATAATTTCTATCAATGGCTAGAAAAACGAGTTAGAGCAGTGGTTCTCAACCTTTTTAATGCCGCGACCCCCAACCGGTCGTAAGACAAGGACTACTCAACTGGTCGTAAGTCGAGGACTACTTAACTGGTGCAGCACCGTTTGCAGACTGGGACTTTTGGCGGGCTCAGCAGGGCAGAGACAGCCTGGACAATTCCTATTGGCTTTTGAAAGCCAATAGAATTAGACTCTATTCAAGAGAGTCTATTCTATTGGCTTTCAAAAGCCAATAGAATAAAAGGGAGTAGCACAGCTAAGGAAAAGGGGGGAAAATGGTGGACTGCATTGTTTGGCGACCCCCGTGAAATGGTCGTTCGACCCCAAATGGGGTCCCGACCCACAGGTTGAGAACCACTGAGTTAGAGAGAAAGGAAGGTGATATGTAATTTTGAATATATATTAGCAAGAAGAAGGCTACTGAGTGATGAATTAACATATTGTTTATGATGATTAACTATTATGTATTATTGTTTGTTAAACACATGCACCCAGACATTATGCTGTTTGCTAAATATTGAGAATGTTATTTGGAAAAACCCCAACCCTAACCATAACCCTAATCCCAACCCCACCTTATCCCCAAACCTATAAAAACTAATAAAATCTATATAAAACCAAAACAAAACGCAAAGGCGATCACGCTGGACCATTACCGTAACACAAAATCGGCATTGTCGATCTCCTGACCACATCCGCTGTTCTTCAAAATTCCTCCGTTTCCAACCACTGCACATTTCTTAAACTGGGAACGAGAATAGGGCATCTCCTGGACCAAAGTGGAAGAAGGCGAAAAATTAGGAGCAATTCTTGGAAAAGTTGTTCACATTTATCTTGGGGCGAAAGGACGAGAGATGTAAACCCTGTACAGGTCCAGCAGCTGGGCAGCGCTCTGCAAAGGTAAAAATGTGCTTTGGGGCAGGGGTCCCCAACCTATGGGCCACAGCCCAGTACCAGGCCGTAGTCTACGATCCACGAGACAGGCTTGCCAGTGTGCACCCGTGGACCTGTTTGCGCATGCGCCCGGGGCTAGCAGTGGCACCTAGCGCCTGCACAAACGGGACCACTAGCACGCACGGGGGTTTGCACGGCCCATTTGCGCCTGCACGCGGTTGCTAGCAGTGGCGCCTAGTGCCTGTGCACATGCACAAATGCGGCTCCTACAGCCGCGTGGGTTGGGCAGCCTGTTGGCGCATGTGTGTGGGGGCTAGCAGCGGCAGTGGCTAGCCCCTGCATGCATAAACAAATGGGCCGCTAGTGCCCTACAGGTGCACACGGCCCCGTTTGTGTGCAGCTCCTTTCGTGCACGCGCGCACACACACAAATTTCTCAGCTGTTCCCTTTTCCTCCGGGCCACTAGCATGAAAAGGTTGGTGACCTCATAGTTCACACCCAAACACAAACTCTTTAAAGCAGCTGCCTCTTTTTCTGAGAGGACTTGGGTGTTCGTTGTAGCTTGAGATGCTGACTCTGAATGCTGCAAATTGTAATTTATATTGAATTAGAAGGAGAGAGGGGGCATACAAAACAGACGTGTAAAAAGTTTCATATTATTATTGAACATTAATAACACTTAACAGGAGTTATTATCAATTTTTGTGTTCTATTTCGATAGGCCTGCAAAATGCAACTCTGGGCAGCTAATGTACAGTAGGACTGAAAACAAAGCAAGATGAACAAGAAATATAAAAGAGCCACAACACCACAAGCTAAAATAGCAAACCGAGACTAGAACAGGGGTCCCCAACCTATGGGTCACAGCCCACTACCGGGCAGTGGCCTACTGGACACTGGGCCACAGGACAGGCTGGCCAGTGCACGCACTCACCCCCACTCGGGCCCGTTTGCGCATGCATGTGGGGCTAGCGCCTGCATGAATGGGACCACTAGCGCAAGCGGGGGTTTGCGCATGTGCATGGTTGCTAGTGGCGGTGGTTAGCACCTGCCCGCATGCACAAATGGGACCGCGCTGTGCGGGTTGCGTGGCCCGTTTGCCCATGGCTCCGTTTGTGCGTGCGCACGCATGCACACAAAGATTTCCCAGCTGCTTCCTTTCCCTCCAGGCCCCCAGCATGAAAAGGTTGGTGACCTCTGACCTAGAAGACAGTATACAGCAGTGGTTCTCAACCTTTCTAATGCCGCAACCCCATAATACAGTTCCCCATGTTGTGGTGACCCCCAACCACTTATACATCACAGGGTGTCAGGGGCGTGGCCAAAGAAAAGGGGGAAAAAATGGCAGACAGCCTTGTTTGGCGACCCCCGTGAAATGGTCGTTCGACCCCAAATGGGGTCCCGACCCACAGGTTGAGAACCACTGGTATACAGGGAGCCCTTGACTTACACCACAATTAAGCCCCAAAGTAAGACAATTGTTAAGTGATTTTTGCCCCATTTTAGGACATTTTTGCAACAGCTGTAAAGTGGACCCTTGCAGTTGTTAAATTAGTAACAGAGCCGTTAACTGAATCTGGTTACCTCGTTGACATTTGCCTGTCGGGGGGCTGCCAAAGGTGATCACGTGACCCTGGGACTCTGCAAACATCATCACTAAGAGCCAGCTGTCAAAGTAATCAGTGGAACTCCTTGCCTCCAGAAATTGTGAATGCTCCAACACTGGAGGTTCTTAAGAAGAGACTGAACTGCCATTGATCTGAAATGGTATAGGTTTTCCTGCCTGAGTGGGGGGTTGGACTAGATGACCTCCAAGGTCCCTTCCAACTCTTGTTATTCTATTCTATTCTATTCTATTCTATTCTATTCTATTCTATTCTATTCCATATTTTCTATTCTATTCTATTCTATTCTATTCTGTTCTGTTCTATTCTATATTCTAGTCTATTCTAGTCTATTCTAGTCTACTCTAGTCTAGTCTACTCTAGTCTAGTCTAGTCTACTCTACTCTAGTCTAGTTAGTCCATTCCATATATTCTATTTTATTCTCTTTTTAAGAAGAGACTGGACAGCCATTTGTCTGAAATGGTCTAGGGTTTCCTGCCTGAGCGGGGGGTTGGACTAGATGACCTCCAATGTCCCTTCCAACTCTGTTATTCTATTCTATTCTATTCTATTCTATTCTATTCTATTCTATTCTATTCTATTCCATTCCATATTTTCTATTCTATTCTATTCTGTTCTGTTCTATTCTATTCTATATTCTAGTCTATTCTAGTCTATTTTAGTCTAGTCTAGTCTAGTCTACTCTAGTCTAGTCTAGTCTACTCTAGTCTAGTTAGTCCATTCCATATATTCTATTCTATTCTCTTTTTAAGAAGAGACTGGACAGCCATTTGTCTGAAATGGTCTAGGGTTTCCTGCCTGAGCAGGGGGTTGGACTAGATGACCTCCAAGGTCCCTTCCAACTCTGTTATTTTGTTATTTCTGCCTTTCTTCCTTCCTCCTTCCTTTCTCCAACACTGGAGGTTTTTAAGAAGAGACTGGACAGCCATTTGTCTGAAATGGTTTAGGGTCTCCTGCCTGAGCAGGGGGTTGGACTAGATGACCTCCAAGGTCATCACTCTGGTCGGTGATTTCTGCAGCTGACCCAATCTTAGAAAAAGATGTGGCTGTTCCCTCACTGGAGGTTTTTAAGAACAGATTGGACAACCATTTGTTTGAAACGGTCTAGGCCAGTGTTTCTCAACCTTGACAATTTTAAGGCATGTGGACTTCAACTCCCAGAATTCCACAGCCAGCATTGCTGACTGTGGAATTCTGGGAGTTGAAGTCCACATGCCTTAAAATTGTCAAGGTTGAGAAACACTGGTCTAGGCGGTCTCCAAGGGGGTTGGACTAGACGACCTCCAAGGTCCCTTTCAACTATGTTGTTTTGTTATCCCGCTTTAAGAGGTTGCCAACTGAAGTTTTATTCGTGCTCCTGCAGACGCCAGATCCTATTTGAGATTGAATCCAAAATTCTCCAAAGGCCTTTTAAGTTTTATCCTTTCAATTCCCACTACGGTCTTCCATAATTGATACCTGTCACCTGTGTTGAACTCTGATACCTATCAATCATCCAGCATTTAATGCCAAGTCCAGCCAAGTTGGGGAAAGCTTGGTATATCTCAGAGTCATTCTGAAGCATTTTTTCAGATAGTTAGGAAATCAGTTTGAAGTAGCTTATTGGTTTATTTAATTTTTGAAAAGAAAATTTCACTACGAGTTTAAGAACTATTAAAACATTGTGTCAACGCTGCTAACATCGGATGTTTTTGCACTGATGACAAAGGGAAATGCAGCCATCTTTTACCTTTTGCTTTTAGAGTTAGATGATGCTGAGTGGGGGATGTGAATGAGAGTTCAGCTAGACATAACAACACTAAACTTAGCATGAGAATCAAGGTTATTGAGCCCAGAGCTGATAAAGAATTGGCGGCTGCAGAACTGGAGAAGAAGCCCACACTTCAGGCTAATCGGGGAATGTGATTTATGACGGTCAATTGGAGGAGGGAATTGTGCTTTGATACTATGTGCCCAGGGGAGGGGAATTCAGTTTTTGGCTTCGATTATGTAGTGCCGATATTATGCTACTCGAATAAAAGATTCTTTAAGGTAAACAATGCCTCGAAGTTCTTTTCTTTTGAAGAGTTTCATCTGTCGGAACCATGACACGTTAATTCTGGAAAGCTGCATATGGACTAAGCGGTCCACATGGACTTGAAATATGATTTTGAAATTAATCGTAAGAATCCTTCTCATGGGAATACGTTTGGTCTTCTTTAAAAAAAAACATGACAGAGTTGGACCTTGAAACTTGGGATACTAGAGGAAACCAGACGGAATTACAGATCACAGTTAAAGGATCAGAAGATTTAAAGTTGATTTACTGACACAGAAGGAAGCGAAGTACTTTTAACACTGGATCTATTGGGAGTTATTTGTGAACCATAGATCCAGAAGTTAATTTTAAGAATGTCTGCTGTTCTATTCTGACTGTGTATGAAAGAGGAATAAGCTTTACTAGACAGGATTAAGATTGATCTGGACGTGGATTTAAAAATGATAGGCTACAATGATTAGGGGACTAGAGGCTAAAACCTACAAGGAACGGTAGCTGGAATTGGGTCTGTCTAGTTTAATGAAGAGAAAGATGAGGGGGGACATGATAGCAGCGTTCCAATATCTCAGGGGCTGCCCCAAAGAAGAGGGAGTCAAGCTATTCTCCAAAGCACCTGAAGGCAGGACAAGAAGCAACGGATGGAAACTAGTCAAGGAGAGAAGCAACCTGGAACTAAGGAGAAACTTCCTGACAGTGAGAACAATTAACCAGTGGAACAACCTGCCTCCAGAAGCTGTGGGTGCACCAACACTGGAAGGTTTTAAGAAGAGACTGGACAGCCCTTTGTCCAAAATGGTATAGGGTTTCCTGCCTGAGCAGAGGGTTGGACTAGATGAACTCCAAGGTCCCTTCCAACTATTATTATTATTATTATTATTATTATTATTGAAAAAGCTATTATACCAGCTGATATCTTAATTAAAAGAAATATACAAATAAATTAAAAGAACAACCCAGATAACGAGTTAAAGTTTCAAGGCTTAAAAACAAGAATTCATAAAAAAAACATCTTAACGCTATTCGGAGCATTTGAGGGCAGCCACTGCTCAAGAAAGTTGGAATTTAAAAATTAAAAAAAACCCATAATGTAACACCCAGTCTAAAACCAGCTCGGATTACTTGCATCCAGATAAACCTTTTGTAGAATTTTTTAATTAGCTAGTAAAGCACTGTGAACTGTCAGCTTCACAAAATTGAACTGAACTGAACTG